TTCAAATGTGTCAAAAGTCTGTGTATATTACATCTGCGTTTTGCTTGTCTTCCATGGCACCCAAGGCCATGTAACATTCATATAGCAACTGTGAGAGGCAGGGATGCTCTGTTCTAAAACCATGTTGTTCAAGGTTATGTAGATGTTGAGATTCCTTGTGATTTGTAATCTTACTTCTTAGCACTCTTTCAAAGATTTTTATGATGTGGGAGGTTAAAGCTATTGGTCTATAATAATTTGGATCTGCTTTACTACCTCCTTTGCAAAGTGGTGTGATCTCCCATGTTTTAAGAATGCCAGGGATGATGCCAGTATCTAGGCTCAGTTTTGAAAAGATGTTAAGAGCCTGTGATAGTGCTGTTCTGCACTTCTTGATGAATATAGACTTCCACGAGTCTAAGCCTGGTGCAGAGTGCATTGGCATGCTGTCAATGGCTATCGTACTAAATCGTACTAAAGTATCAGTATTTCACTCATTTCTTTGTTGTCATCTGTGAAAGTTCTATCACCCTTGGGCAAAGGCCCAATGCAGGATACTGGACTTTGTTTTTGTTTTTGCATACCAGAAATTTTGGGTTCTTCTCTATCTCACTTATGGCCTTTTGCTCCCTTTGCTCCCTGAATGTGTAGATTCTACGATCTACGATGCCTCATGGCATCTCTCTCCTACCATCAGCTCAATCATTTCTATCTCCCTATAGAGACTTACTCGTCATTGTTGGGATAGATTAGAGAGCTCGAGATGTTCTGCCATTTGTTTTCTTCGCCTTCAACGAGTGCTGTTCTCGTTCCAGTTTGCATCATTTTCTTAGTGGTATATACCATCTAAATGTTTCTTGTGTTACAGTGCATATTTTCTCGAAGCACTGGCATTATGTAGTTGTTCTTCCCAGCATAGTTCTGCGAGGTCTTGGTTTATTTGTTCCCAGTTAATTAGTTTGTTATTAAATTGAAATTGCAGAATTCTTCTCCTCTTGGAGTTGAGATTGCCTGCACAGGTCTATTGCCCATGCTCATCTGAACTTCAATCGGTCTAGGAGGTTTTCTCTCCTAGTTGGCTCTACTATTTGCTGGTGTAGATCAAATCTGTCACACATCAACAAGAGGTCATTTCTGTGTGACTGATGAACAGACTGCTTCCTGGGATTCTCCGCTAAAATACTGTAGTACAGTATTTGCCACATTTTCCATTTTAGATTTGCATCTGGTGATTTACATACTGTACAAAGACAATCATCACATCCAGAATGTTTATTTTGGTTATCAGCACTTCCACCATATTGTTTGTGGTGTTTAGCAACTCTGTGCAGATGAGGGTGTCTTTGATGTAAAGGCTGACTCCACCTTGTAGCCTGTGATTCATGTTACATCTGAAAAGATTGTACTCCGGTATCCATATATCACTGTCATAATAGTCCTTAGTGTGAGTTTCAGTTAAAGCTGCAAATGCTGCACTTGCCTCATTTAATCCTTAGACCGCGCATATTGGGGGCCTGGTAGCGAAAAATATTTGAATTATGTAGAAATAACTTAAAAAGTTAAACAAATCTCCAACTTATTGGCTTCAGTGTCGTGAAACTTTCATCAAAATATTTTCAGAAATTGATTTTACACAAATTTTTAAAAAATAAAAACGTTTTGTTAATAAGAACACCTAATAACTGGAACTGAAGGATAATGCAGTAATAAAGAGATGCAAGCACCAGTCCAACGCTCAAAAAAAGAATAGTGGGAAGAAGTGTTCACTTAATGGATATGCAGTTGGTGCCTTTAAATCATTGCTGAGTAATACATAATAACACAAATAATAATGAATTGCTATGTTAATATGCTCTATTTTGTTGACCAGACCACACACTAGAAGGTGAAGGGACGACAACGTTTCGATCCGTCCTGGACCATTCTCAAGTCGATTGTGAGAATGAACTTGAGAATGGTCCAGGACGGAACGAAACGTCGTCGTCCCTTCACCTTCTAGTGTGTGGTCTGGTCAACATTCTTCAGCCACGTTATTGTGACTCATTGCCTCTATTTTGTTATGTATCATATAAATACATTGTCCAATGTTAATATATGTTACTTTCATCAATGTTCCAAAAATATTTTTTTACGGGAATTTTTTTTAAGGTTTATTTAGTTTATTTTTCCCTTTTGTTTATTATCTGATTTTGTTGTAGCCTTTACATCCTGGAGAATGCAAATATTTCCCTAACTATGTGAAGATAGTTGGTCGACAGTCACTACTTGTAAAACTTGGAACTTTTTAATTTTTTTGATGATTTTTTCTCTGATTTCAAGCTCTATTTTCTTGGTCTCTTTATGTTATTTTGATGATTAGGGACCATATTAGGGCTTTTTCACTTATATAAAGTATACACTATGAATAAATCCACCAGGGCCATGATGAGGGGTCCGAACTCACGCCCAGGATGTTCCCAGACACTGCCTTAGTTGACTAGGCCACGACATGGTCATAAGAATTGCAACCGGGATTTCCACTCATTTCACACAGTTCCTGCAGTCTCTCTGAGACACAAACCATGATTTTACACAATTCCCCCCATGCACTCAGGCTCTGTCAAGCTGTTCTACCTCTTCGCCCTCACTTCAATACACACACAAATCACAATAGCGTGATGCATCATATGAATAAGTCCACCAAGGCCGTGATGTGGGTCCGAACTGACGCCCAGGATGGTTCCCAGACGCTGCTTTAGTCGACTAGGCCACGACATGGTCATAAAAAACGATGGACCCAATGTGTCTAAAGGCCATGGGGGCCTTTTCCAGTAAAGTCGTGCCAGGGCTCGGGGTTCCTCCGATCGTGGTATGCCAGTGGTGCCAGTTTCGGAGCAGGCCCAGCCTTCGGAGCTGATGACGACTGGTCGGCACGGTGATCACTCTGCCCGTAAGTCGGCTTCTCATACGGGGCATCGGCCCTTTCACGGTATGTCCCATTGACAGGGCGATGGGGAGGAGGCTCGTGCTGTTTGCTCATGCCTGGTCCCACAATTTGTGGGTTTTTCGGGTCATTTCTTGCGGCCTACAGTGGCGTTCCCTATAACCAAACAGCCTCGAGGCATCCGGGTGACTAACCAACCTAGCGCGCTGCAGCAACCTGTAACATGCATGCAATGCCAAAGGTGCATGCACCCGAATTGCATGATCAGTGGATTGCGTGAAGCGAAGTACATGCAAGCACCACCACATGCAGGACTCCGGGTCGAAGGTGTCATTGACCCAACAGGCAGCATGATGGAGGCAGAACAGGTGATTGTCACCCTGAGACAAGAGGCCAGAGTACCCCTCAACTCGTATGAAGGGAGATGGGACCTAGGGGATGCATCAATCAGACCATTGAGCCACAGTGAGGTTTTCCAGGGTTCCCTTAGATGCTCTGCTTAGGGAAGTCCAGGCAAAGTACTGCTAACCGGCACCCTAAACTGCCAAACGAACTACTAATAGCTGATCCCCCGGGACGTGTACACACACACAGGGACCTAGGTGGAGGACCAGAAAGAATACAAAATAATAAGGGTCAACAACACCAAGGGGGCAAACCCTACACCAGGCAAAAAATAAAAAGAAAAGAAAAACACTGTAAGAGTACCACGTCCCAAGCAGAACAGAGCCGGCCGCTGTATTATGGTGAAAACAAGATGCACAGTACCCTGCGCCCCTACCAATGATGAAGCTACCTCCTACCCAGGGGCAAACGGGGGCACATGAAACACCCAAGCTGACTCCACGGCCGGGCAATCACCGAGCAACAAAAGACCATGGCAGAGGTAGGTCCAAAGCGACTTGTGGAAGACATTCCCAGGCCACAAGGGCCGTACTTACAGGGTACCTAGAGAAGACAACCCTAGGCGCATGCATCCCGAATACTGGTGAAAATACACCTGGTTCGCACACCACCACAGGACAGGACCACACCACAAGGCACAGCACTGGAACAAGTCTGGAGCCAGAGTCGCACGACTGCCAGGTCTCGCATCAGCCACAGAACTTAAGGTGTGGATAGCTGGCATGGGGTTCTAGGCAGCTTCCCCCCTTCCCCTTCCTGGGGAGGGGGGAACTGCACAAACAGCGGTGCGATGACGGTTGTTGTTTGTGCTCATTTTTCGATTGGGGGAGTTCTGTCCAACAGTTCAGCTTTCAGTATCGATATTTTCACCAGATAGGGTTTGTTTTGGGTTGCCTACCTTTCTGGGTACCTGACCCAGTCGATGGCAGACACTGAATGCTTCCAACCATTCGGGGGTTTCTATAGGCCATTGCTCCTCAAGCCTCCGAGGGGGCCAGTTTCTGGCTCGTGGTTCCCGGTAGGCCTATGAACTTCATTCGCTTGACTGATGCTAGGTTCTAATACATTCATATCAGTCCAGAAAGCTCCAGGGAAGCCGAAGGGGCTCCCACCCCCCCCCCCCCCAAGGAAAAATTGAGCATATTTGAGGAAAGATGATAACTTGGGCACCCGGCCTCTTAAGTGGATTTGACAAAAGAGCTGGCACTGTTGTGCAATCAGCTCGGTAGACCCAGGAAAGGGCATGAAGCTGCCACCAAATGGAGGATAGTGAAAATGAGAAGGCAGCACTGCTGGTAGTAAGGTCCATCCTTTGCCAAATTACTGCGCTGCCAAGCGAAGGCCTGGAACAATTTTAATCCTTTGTGGTTGACGTCCAACAATCACTTATGGGCCAGACTAAATAATTTCAGCATATCAACTTGAAGCAATGCCTGAAATTCCCCCTGGAATTGTGCTGTATGCCACCCATGTTTGCCTGCATTTCCTGGGTCCAAGGACACTAGTGTCATCTTACATAAAGTTGCTATTTGTAAGAGCCCAGTTACAGGTAGTTCACCATTTAGCTTTAATACACATTGCCTTGTACTTTAAAGAATTTGTCCTGAATACAATGTAGTGACAAAAACAGTATATGTCATTTGTAACATTTGTAACCACTGCCCTGTATATAACAAAGAAATTTAACACTTACCGAATGCTTTTTAGAAAAAAGGTCTTTGAGAATTTCGTTGCAATTTTTAAAAGATTCAGAAACCTTTCCTTTTGGTTTCGTGCTATGCTGTGGCTGAAAAGAAAATTTCATAATTACTAACAATTAAAAGTGCTCATTAATTAATTTAAAGCAGTTATATTCATGTAATTGCAAAAAATTATAATTCACACCTAACAAAAGTATTCATTATCAATTGCAATCATATATCAAAATTTTAAAACAGCATATTATATTTCAAATAACTAATGTTAAGTTGGCTTATTAATAAATTACTACATCAAAACAACTTTATATGTGACACAGTCAGCTTTGACCCTAGGTTTACACAAGGGAAATCCAACTCAGGACTTTAAAATATGAGCCACATTCAATAATGAACTCTGACAAAATTTTAAAGCAAAGATTTACAATCTTTATTAGTATATGCAATTATAAGTTACTTAAAAGTTGAAAAAAATGGTATTATCCTGCCCATAAAAAGACTAGAAAACCATTAAAAATTACTTATCATCTCTTAGATAATTCATCTGAGGTAATGTACAATTAAGCTCTGTCTACAGAAAATACGGATAAAGGTTTTTACTACTATAGTAAATAGTTTTATTTTAATTCAAGATTCTTATAATGTTCTAATTGTGAATGCAGTCTACCCTTTCAATCAAAACACACACTACTCCAAAAGACTGAAATTCTGGCAACAGATAAATCAACACTGAAAATAACTACACTAATAACAAACATTGTAAAAAGATTGGTACTAGTTGATCCTTATATCAGATAGCTTAGTACACAGATGTATTAAATCAACCTTCAGTACCAAATAAAACAATTTTAACTAACAAGTTGAGAGATAGTCTCTTCTAAGTACTCCTGTCCTCCATACACGCATCCACAATAATATCCCCTTGGATCTACGATACTGTAATTCTAAATGCCAAATATTTTGGTTATGCTGTTCAGGATATCTAGTTGTGTACAGAACTGATGTGATCTTTGACCGAACCTTGTACTTTGTCAACAAAGTAATCGACAGATACAGCAACAATATATTACACATATAAGCACAACATATCAAACACATTCGTTCAACAATCAACAGCCAGCTTACACTTTTATGTGCTTCATACTATCTACAGGACCAAGACAGAACTACCAGTTTATACAACACAGCCAACCAATGAGAATATAAGTCAAGATTACCCACTCCCCTTAACAGGGAAACCATCTCACCTCTATTCATACCTGAATAAAATATATACTGCTGTCTGCCCATATACTGCATTTCCACTGCCTCCAAGGATGCTAGAATGTGCTTTAGCAAAATGCATCATTTAACAATCGGCATCAGGCCCATTAAAAATTGTGAAATTAACATTTAAAGAGATTGTCGGAAATTTCCGACACCCCAAATACTAACCTCCAACGCAGTAATATAGGAGTATCGTGTCAGGAAATCAAATTTACTAATATTATTAATTCTTAGTGTAGGAACACCAAAAGTTTCCTACTATCTATGGCTGCTATTGCATCAGCCGTTCCAGCTCCCAAGGAAAATATTCTTTATTTGAATCTGATTAAACCCAGTCTATGCTCTGCTTAATTTGCATAGTAATTTACATTGAACATTGATTTACAGTAATTCTGTTTAGAATATCCGGCCAGTATGCCGCAGGACAAATAAAACGTCCAGAGTAAGTTTACGCCCTTTAGGCAGTTAATCCCTTTTCTAGGAGATTAACTGAAGATATATTAACTTTATAGGAGTTACAGTGTATATTTTCCACAGCGTGGAGAAACAACTGGGAGCCAGCTGCCTCAACTTGTAATTCAAGTGTTCGCCAAGCTACCACGATGAGGCTTGGAATTTGACTGACTTTCGGAAGAATATTAGACGTACACCTACTAATCTGCTCGAGAGCTAAGCCCTTTAAATTATATTTATGATAATTGTAGTTAGTCTACTAATCTCACAACAAATTATTTACTCAAAAATATTTATCATTGAATTTATTCAAGTATATTTAAATTACACGGTAGAGTTTTAAGTCTACCCCCCGAAATTTGGTGGACGCAGAAATACCCAACAAGCATCTAAATTTTAATACAGTCCATTTAATAATCTAATAACAATACTAAGAAATACTTGTTGGGAAATTCCCCCCCCCCCAAAGATATTTTTTTACACTTCTTTCACAAGTGAAATACAAGATACAGTTGTACCCCAGCTTACGAATGCCCCTCTTTACGAACTTTTCAGGTTACGAGCCCGATTTCTTCGTAAAATTCGAATCAGGTTACGAACTTTGCCTCAGGACATGAAGTTTGTTGATACGTGTATGGCCGACCTAGCTCGTGGTGATACAGTGACCGCACCTCAGTTTACCAGTGCCTCACGCCTAGTGACAATGGAGCCTGAATTCTTTGTAAAGCATTTTTATTTTATTTTTTTTTGGGGGGGGTATTTGAACATATAAGTTATTATTATATATCTCACCATGGGTCCCAAGAAAGCCAGTGGTAAGGTTCAATCCTTAAGTTGTGGCATGAATGTGTTTCAGAACTAGACTTTGAGGGGTTTGAGCCTGAAACTGAATTGCCTATTGTTGAGGAAATTTTTACTCTGAGCCAGAAATTGGGCTTAGAGTTGGATGGTGCTGATGTGGAGGAGTTGGAGGAGGAACACAGCGAAGAACTGACCACCGTAGAACTCCTAGCGCTTCACAAGGAGCAGCAACAAGAGACAGCTGAGGAAATGTCTTCAGGGGAGGAGGCAGAACAGAATGTCCCTCAACAATTAGAAAGTGGTGTAGACTGTAGGAAATGCAAGCTTTTGTTGAAACGACTCACCCAGAACAAGCTGTAGTAGGCCGTTGCATTAACCTTTTTAATGACAATGTTATGCCTCATTACAGACAAGTGTTACATCGAAGGGAAAACAATCCAATATGGATCGATTTTTAGTGAAAAATTCAAAGCAGTGAGCCACAAGCAGGCCCTAGTGGTATGCAGGCAAAATGTGCGAGAGTGTACCCCAGAGAAGTCATCACTGCCTGATGTTATAATGGAAGGGGACTTCCCTTCCAAACACTAAACACCTCTCCTTCTCTCCCCCCCCCTCATTCCTCACCGTCTTCCACAGACCAATAAAAATCATCAATAAAGGTAAATAAAAACTTGTACATACTTTAGTACTAAAGATTTGGGTGAATTAGGTATAAAATTTACTTTGAAGTTAATTTTTTGGGGAGTGTGGAACAGATTAATTAAATTTACATTATTTCTCATGGGAAATTTGCTTCAGTTTACGAATTTTCGGCTTACAAACCATCTCTGGAAACAGATTAAATTCGTAAGCCGAGGTACCACTGTATATAGAAGAAAATTTGTGCAACAATTACTAATCTAAACCATTTGGCATTATTAAATTAAGATGCTCATAATGTATTTATGTGTAGAGCCATCACCAAAATCCAGGTCCCTCTAAATAATAAATAAAATTCGTCTCTCCTATTTCCTTCCAAAATTAAAATACTGTACTAAAAAAATATAAAAAATCTATTGTAGTGATATTTCAGTAATTTGTATTTATTTATTTATATATATACAAGAGTTCTTACATTCTTGCACAGCCACTAGCACGCATTGCATTTCGGGCAAGTCCTTAATCTTATGTTCCCCAGAATACAACCCGCCAAATCGTTTAACAACCAGGACCGGTAAACAGAAGCTACAGTTAAGGACTGACACACAGTATCTCCCTGGCCAGGATACGAACCCAGGACAAAGAGCTCGCGAAACGCCAGGTGCGTGTCTCACCAACTACACCACGAGGGACTGTTTACAACTAAGTAATTTTCATCAAATAATATATTTGTTTCTTATTTTTGCTAATATGGCTGTTCTATTTGTAAGCATTATTAAAAATGCACTATTATATAATTTTGTTTATTATTGTATTGTATGATGATAGTAATTGCACAACATTATATGATAAAAAGTGCTGGGAAGACGGGACACCGTGAGCACAGCTCTCATCCTGTAACTACACTTAGTTAATGAGATATTTGTGCTCTTAGTGGAAGCCACAGAGATATGTAATTCCCATCTAGGCAACAGTCAGTTGCCATTGGAACATTTTCTTATAGGGCTTAACCACAGACTGTAAATATTTACATGTATTTACTTCTCATGCCAGAAGACAGGTGTTCAAGGCACCTATAGCCAAAAGTGAATGCAATCTTACACTCACAGTGTGTGGTATAAAGATCATATGACTTAAACGTGTGGTATCCCTAATCCTTCTGTACTTCAGTGGTAGCCACAAGAGATAGGCAATTCCAATCTGGAATTGAACTACTAACTGTGGTTAGTTGCCTTAAAAACTCTCTCTAATAGGGCTCAACCCATAGTACAGTTGGTCGGCATTTGCCTCTCATATCAAGAGGACATTGTTCAAAGCCCCTATAACCCAAAGTTAATAAAATGTTACATCCATGGTAGTGTGGAACAGGTATACAACTTAGCCTGTATAAAATTGGTACAATGTTAAGAGGCATATATAATGCCTCTAACCTCTCCTCATAGTTTGTCCTTCAGTTCTGGGAGCCACTTAGTGGCATGTCTTTGCAACTATTCCAGTTTGTTGATGAGCTTCTTAAGATATGGACACAATACAACTGCTGAATATTCCAGCTTTGGTCTAACAAAAGTTGGGAACAATTTCTTTAGTATTTTGCCAACCATGAATTTAAAAGCAATTCTTCTCTTGTTTTTGAAATTGGTGGTTTCAGGAATTCCCCTTTGTCAATTTGGAATAGCCCTCTTATTATTTTGAAAGTATTGATCATATCACTTATTTTTCATATATCTTCAGTTTTGGCATGTTTAATGCCTCTAGCCTCTCCTGGTAACTTTTGGTTTTCAGTTCCAAAAGCCATTTTGTAGCAAGCCTTTTCCAGTTTATTGATGAACTTCTGGGCACCATCCAACTGCTGCATATTCCAATTTTGGTCTCACAAAAGTCATGAACAGTCTCAGTATTTCACCATCCAGGTAATTAAAACCAAGTCCAA